CCCCTGTCGCATCAGACGAATAGCGGTGGTGATGGCCGTCTACTTCACCAAAGGCGAGTGGTACGGCGGTGATGACAAAACAACCAACGGCCCTTACACCCGACGGTGATAGAATTGCATCCGGTTTTCACAATATATTTACTAATTCAGCTACACCTTAATAATTTACTGAACACACACCATACAGATATAATCATTACACATCATTCATCATGTCCACAACGAAGAATACTTGTTATAATAACAATGCTCGACACTAACATAACAACTGTGTCAACTGATAAATTAACACAAGCGGTACATACATAGCACAATAAAGGTTCTACTCCCTACAGACTTACGTAACTAAAATGAGGTAGACGTGCTTCGCACCTTCAGATTGGCACTCCTTGATCATCTTGGCAGCCAATGTAGCATGGAACCCCTCTTATTCCTCCCATAGCCATTGCAAGAAAATCGTTCAAAAGCACAGAGACTCCAAAATCTGCACAATGCAAAGCAACATAATTAATAATATTCAACATACCATTGGTTTAGTTACCAAGCTAAAATTGGACTATATATAGACTCAAAACAACTCCCTACCCAAACAAAGACATGTCCTAACAATAAAATACAATATATGCACATTTACTGCTCTGCTAATGACTCAATGAACAAGGGAACATAAGGCAGATAGTGAGGTCCATTCAAATAAATACTCTAGATACTTTTAGGATACCGGACGACCCGGGCCGGGAGGACATGAACTTTTATATGGCTCATGTCATATACCATCAGTGTTCTGTCCTCCCTAATAAGGAATATCAAATTCCATTCTAGGTGAACTGCAATCACTCTGTAGTCCGCATTGGTAGCCTCGGAACCGAGTCCAATATTATTCAGTCCAAATAGCTGCAGCGTGTTCACCATATGCTTCAATGACCATTTACTTGTACCATAGTATTCAAGGATCCTGATTGAAATGTCAGACGCATTGAAAATATTAACAATACATAGACACAACTGACCCTGGTCTCCAAGGATGCACATTGCAGGACCTGGTGGCCTAAGAATTTTCCTCCATGTCTTTCCCTCCATATCAACAGCAACTATATGGGACACCTCCAGCATGTGCATAAACCATTAAGAAACACAATTCCTGAAAATTTGCATACTAGAATATTCCTAAAAATATGCATAAACCATTAAGAAACACATCCATGCT